CCTCTGCATGTTGGGGATTGCACTGTCTTCCAGGTTCTAGATTCTAAACATTGTGAAATCAATTCTTGGCTCTGATAATTTTCTAAATGTCTCTCTCTGCTCTCCACCCTCATTTATTACTACTTACTTACTACCAAATAAAGCCCGCAGGCCAAAAAAGGTTAAAACTTCTGCATCAACTTTGGAATACTCATGAGAATGTATTCATCACTTGTAGAACACTAATGTTCAGTGCTTGCAGTATTTTACCATTGCAGGATAGGGTCGATCTTTGAATTTAACCAGAACAGTATCAGAACAGTAGTCAGGCTGGCGCCACTTAGTGATCTGCTCAATTTAATTTCTCTCCAGCGACTAGGTCAGGAATTGGACTACACAATATGGTTTGCAAGAACCACGGAAGTTGTAGACCGTGCACCAGCCAATCTTGGAAGAGCTGTGTGGTCCAGCACAGCAGGAAACGAAGTGGTCGAGATGGATGTAGACGAAGCCATACATTCTGTATTGGCAACGATTCTTTAGATCGAGGATTTAAAACTGGAACAAAGAGAATGTTTGGTGAATTTTATCAAGCGGAAAGACATTATTGTCCTTCTTCCTACGGGATTTGGGAAAAACGTAATATACCAGTTAGCCCCGTTAGCGGTACATTACATATGTTACCAGATAGCAGCGATTGGTTAAATAAAAAAAATAGCCGCCTACCATCAAGTGAACGAATCCTAATGCTGCGAGGCCAGATAGTTTCCATGAAGTGAAACCGGCTGATGAATCAGGCTATCAGAACAGTAGCTCATATACACAATTGAGCCTTGGTGAATAACATTCTGTAAACCTTTAACTTTTACTGCTGCCATGTACTATACAAGACTAAAAAGATATAGTCACATGTTCAAATAAATGTTAAACTAATTTACGCAACACACAATCAACACACAAATATGAGAGACCCACATTTCAACTCAGGTAGATTGTCTAAGTGTCATTTCTCTATCTTTCAGTTTCCTGACCTATCCTGAATAATCTAATCATAGAAAAGGACCTTTGCCTCCATCACCACCACGACTGAACAGACCCCACAGGACTTATTTGAATTGAGTTTTAATTTGACACCACCTTGACATTATACTCTGTTGTACTGTGGCCCGGGTGAGTCCTACTTTTGTCATCCTCTTGCTCATTATCCTGCTCCCCACTCAGTCCAGCCTATTAGCATGACTGTGACAGACTTTTATTGGAAGTCCCCATATTCCTGGAGTCCTCTGTTTACCCGCCCGCCTCAAATTACAGCTGCTCCATCAATATTTTATGATTATGCTGTCTTCTAAACCTTATGTATAGCCCACAGACAGATTCATATGCATATTAATTAGAAAATGACAGGCAATTACTCTTTCAGCTGGGGACAAAAAATATGAAAAACGCTGAAGCAAGCGTAGAGAAAGTGCTGTGAGATTTTTCTCCTGCACAAAAAGATCCTTCTATACATTGTGTGAGAAAATTGCTATATACATGACAGTTATACATATAGACTCATGACTACTGCTAGTCTAAGCTTGACTGTTCAATAGAAAGCGAAATAATAACTAGTGGAATCAAATGATAGTTGTCAGTCATATGAGTCTCATATGAAGTGACCAGTATATGCCCAAGGTTGTAAAACTAACACATGATAGCAATATAATAGCACTAGATTATGTTCATCTGTCAGTCCACATTTAGCGAGTATGCCCAAATTGTATGTTTTAGTTGACAGTCACTATTGCTTTACTTGTCTGTGTTATCATACTGAGTGACCACACCAGATGCAACTTAAACTATATAATGATTATGCACATTTTACTGGTGTTTGACAGGTTAGACCAGCAAGTGAAAAGTCACCCAAACATTACCACTCTACTGTGACATACTGTGATAGTGGACCCTGGTGGTTCCCTCCAGTAATAATGAGTCTGAGTCACATTATACTTTCTTGTATATGGGGATAATTTGGAGAACTTTGGACTATTAAATAGATAAAATATTTAACAGTGGGTCCGGTCAAGCAGTAACGGAGGGAAACAGGGGCAGATTTTTTACATTCACATAGCTCTTATTCAGAAACTAGAGGGACTATTGACATAAGTAAGGTATCAGAATGTAGGAAAGAGTTAACACTCCAACATGGTAAAGTTAAACCTGCAATATTCTTTCAAGTTGTTGACAAAAAATAAAAAAAAAACTCATGTCAGTAACAGAGGGAATGAAATATGCAGCACTTTTTGGCCAATAAATACAAACAGTGATAACTAACGGTTCTCACTTACATATCCTTAACAAACTGGTTTGAATATTTGCTTAATATAGTTTTCTGCTATATGGTACAAGATTAGGTTGAAAAACCTCTTACTTTTTGAGTAATGAGATTTTTTATTAAGAAAGGTCATGGTAACGGGGGGAAAAGTAATGGAGGGAAAATTGTGCAAGCAAGTAGAAGGTGCATGATTTTGCATAATTTGTCAGCTTTTTTCTTCCGAATACTTTAATATTACTTCAAAATGAAAGGAAACTATTTTTATAAAATATGTCAGTCCTTCCAAGCAAATTTTTATAATTTTAAATACATAAAAAAAAAAAAAATCATGTACCTTCATCAACATTTCAAAGATCGAATAACACAAGATATGATGAAATACATCAAGTTATTTACATGATTTGCAGGTCTTTGAAATTTGGGACTTAATTTTTGTTCCATGTTTCATACATGGTATGTTTAAAACTTATGTAACTTTAGAACCAAAAATGGTACAGAAAAAAGGTAAACAGTTTCATAAACTAGAGTACATATGCTATCTGTTGAATACATTTTTATATTAGATGCATTAACTTGAATTTTTGCCCTTGATGTCTACTTCTGCTTGACCGGGCCCCACTGTATTGTTAAATGCAGAGCAACAATTTTATTTTTCATCCCTCTGGATAGACCAGAATGCATTGTGAGAGTTGGAGGGGCAGTGGGACAGCAACATGTCTTCAAAATGGGCAGAATAACACACCAGACACTGTTTTAAAGAACTTATTTGCCCATAGGCTAGAGATAGCCACTAAATCTGTTTACAGAATGTACTGTACAAAATTTATAGTGATGGTTTATATTCTGTGGGGAGATTGATCACATCCATGTCTAAATCATCTAAAAACCCTCAAAATTAGGAGCCCTATTCAGGTCTGATTTACTGGCACCACTCAAGTTCGAGTCAGATTCAATAAAGTCCAAGTGCATGGTTTAAGTAGGCTATGTATAAAACACAGACCTGTGCAAAATAACCCAGTCTGCACCATCTGCATTATTGCATCAAACAATAAAAATTTCCCTCTTTCCTTCAGATTCCTTATGGCTATTAACATTTAGAGGGTAAGGTAGCTGGATGCTAAAGGTTAATGCTCACACCATTAGAGACAGAGCTAGCATGCGTTCATCCCTGTTGGTTTAATTAAATTACAGGGGAGTCATAAAAGCCACAATTATATGGAACATACAGTTACTGGGAGGGCTAATGGAGCACTATAGCACCATATCTTCCAGCTCAGCAGATTTATCCCTATCGTGTTTGAAAACGGGGCATCACGGAGTTTGTCATGGCCTACTTAACAATATAGGATGTGGTAATTAGATCATTTGTCAAGCTGGCTGATTTGCTGCTTGTTCTTATAACACAGTAACAAGGCAAAGCAACTGGCTGAGTCACACACAGGATATTGATCCTCAGCTTTGACTGAGCACATCACAACTCTGCAGGTCTCACCAAAGCAATGTGTGGTGCATTTGAAGGAAAGGAAAACTGGGCTTCTATTATGTTACTTCAGTGGTCGATACAACTATTGGATTTGTGACTCTACAGGCTTCATTAAATGGTGAACTTTTTATTGGTATGGGCACCGCTGGATAGGAAGCCATCGGAAATAGTGATTATACACCCTCTAGTGGAAGATCATTAGAAAAATATCAGCTCTAACAAACTGCTTAGCTCACTTCAAAAGTGAAACTCAAGAATAAATGTGGACTATTTTAATATATTATTTCTACTTTTCTGTTTATCAATGACAACAGTGTGTACCGTAAATAAAAATCAAGTAAAATCATTCTAACTGGCACATTATATTACATTCTGCTTTTTGTGCTGCTAGTACTACTTTGCCTATCACTCCTGTAATGTTTGTGTAAAGGAAACCATTTTTCATAATTAAAAGTACATTTTGCTGTGAAAAACATGTCACTTTCAATTCACTGAGATATTAATAGCTACCACTTGCTGGGTTTATTCAAATATAAGAAAGTGTAACTACTTTAGGTTTATTGCCTTTAATGATAATGACACAAATACATTGAACACTTACCATAATATATACAACAGTGTTCCCGTGTGCATTAATGCAACTAACAGGCATAAATAAGTCATCCAAAACACAAATTTTGATAACTTAAATACTCTTTTTGTTTTTAAACTATTTTATATGAAACATTTGACACAATGCATAAAAGCCTGTTCCTTCTACTATTAGTTAATTGCACATGCTTTCCTACACAGAACATGCAGCAGACGTGAACTGAGTCAGCTGTGGTTTTCACAAAATCATCTTAAAAACAAAACGAGGTATATGGTCCATATTTCATGATTAATACACAATTGCAAAAATAGTATAAAAATGAACAGTGTGTACAAACAAAATTGTGCTGTGACTCTGAGTTATACTTTTTTTCTCAGTTCCCATTTGTAAGTGGATAAATCTCTCTTTTTTTGTTATCTTTTTCCTTACAGCATATTTGAAGTCCTCTTTGATTAGACGTAATAGACTGTGAGGGCTTGAAAAGAAACATTAAGAGCTAGGATCAATGGGTTGTATGAGCACAACTGAAAGTTTGAAAGGCATTACGCTGAATGTTGAGCTTTGCCTTTGTCAAACTCATGGCTGCATTTTGACTCGTGCTAACCTCAGCTCATTTATATCACACCCTGCCACTAACTCAGTCGCCGTAGTTTCCGGTACAAGGATATTGCTAATAACATGGCCGCCACACCGACAACAACAAGGACTGCCACAGCCACCCCCAGACCCACAGCTGCACTCTGGTTTTCTTGCTGGTCCTTGGTCTTTTCTGTGGGCAAAGAAAAATGACTTTCACAAGAGTGCATATATATTAAAAAATACACATTTTTATGCATTTATTTCAAATCCAGACATATTGAAGAGTGAATCGAGTGAAATGAAACTTACCTTTGAGGGATGGGTCATCTGTAAGAATGAAGGGGAGAAAATATTAGACACATCTTTGTTTAAGGCCAATTCAAACAAATATGTTTTTCTATTATTCTTAAGGGTGCACTGTTTAACCTTTCTGGTGGAGGGTCCACCACGTGCTTGTTTCAGTGGGTATGTCATTGCTCTGCCTAGAATGTTCCACAGTATAACATTAAACATCTCTACCTTATATTTCTTAAATTACAGGTGGTTTTATAGCTCAAAAAACTGGAATTCTGACTGTGAGCAGGGTTTCCTGTCCACAGATCTGACCTGTAACTTGGTCTGGTTTGGTCTCCATGAAGATGAAACTCGTGTTTGTGAAAATTGAAAATTCCAGATAAAGCAATAACATTTCCATAGAGAAAATCATTTAACAGACCCTCCACCAGAAAAGTTGCAAAATGCACCTTAAAGTATTACTAGTACCATGTATCTTGTGCACTGGCTACAGTTTACTGGAACAGGCGGCATATTCCATGATTTATAGTGTGGCATTTATTTTAGTTTCTTGATCTTTGGTGTACTAATGAGTGTATCTGTGAAAGTAAAGCTATAGGAGTTTATAGTATCTTCATGCAGTACGTACGGTCCTCTGAGTTGGCCTTGATAGCCACTGTGAGCAGAGAGGGTTGACTGATGCCATCCTGGAGCACACTGGCTGTGTCCCTCCTCCTCCTGCCATTGTTACACTGCTAAAGAAAACACTGAGCTGAGCGTGGACCTGGAGTGCAACATGTGTGTTTGAGATGCAGGTGCTGGCTTACCTTAAAGCTACTGCAGGTGGAGCGTTCACATAGGCGGGTGATGCAGTGGAGATAGTAGGTGGAGACGGTCTCATTCTGCTGCTCAATGAAGCGAAAAGCCTTGAAGGAGAAACGTGCCCTTTGGCTGTCCCCATTCTCCAACATCGTGGTTAGAGGATCTATGGAACACCTGTTAAACACATAGCAGAATTAAAATGATAAGTAATTAGACAGTTATTTTTTAGAGGTAACTTCTTTATTTGTGTATATTTTTTTCCTTACGCGACAAAGAGGTTGAAGAAGGTGGAATTGGTAGGATGAGGAGACACTGAGGCATAGCAGCGGTCCAGGAGCACAAAGTATCTGTGAAGGCACAATGAGGTTCAAGCTTAGGTCAGAGACTCACTGGTCACATGTGGAATACTTACACAGTAAAGCAATCTATTATCTCCTACTACCACTACTAAGTCACATGGGTTTAATGTCTGCACTAAGGTCCATTGGGGGTTGTGTTTGTTGTTATGTATTGTGAACTGTTCCGTTAGAGTGAATGAATGTGTCATGTCTGAAATTGTGTGTTTAACTGTTGTATTTTTTTCCTTGTGCCCTTGGGATCCAAGAAGAATTACTCTAGTTAGAGACGATAAAGAGCAATCTTATCTCATGGCATGCTATCACTCAGGCCAGAGGTTTAGCTGTAATATAACTTTATGGTTGAGTCTATTGACCAATGAAGTGCTGATAAATATCTTACTGCTCTGTCATATTGGTGGCTATCACTTGCACATAGATGTCTGTTCTCAGCTCGACACCCAGGGGTGGGATGATGAGAGGGGTGGTGTAGTTTTTGTCCTAGGAATAGAAGACAGTTAGAAGCATATTATGTGCTCCTACATAACATAAATGTTGCCATGTTTCAGAGCAGAAGAAATGAGTTTGTGTAAAGTGTAGCATAAGGTGGCACCTTGTACAGGCCCATTCTGAGTGTGCTGACAAAACTCCCATTTTGGTCCTTTAGAGCAATGGAGGACGATGACCTGCAGGAGTGAGCGCACACATAAACATGATGGCGTCATTACCACAAGCACAAATCAGAATGTGGACTTACACATCCACACGGGTGTTGTTGATGAGGTACTCCAGCGGGTAAGCACAAGAGTAGTAATACTTGAGCTCTGCATTGTAGGTGATGGTCCCAGTGGTGGGGTCATACGAGCGAACAATCCCACTGATGTTAACAGTTTGGATGTTGGAAAAGTCTGAGAAGACTCCAGTCCCTGGGGCGCTGGTCGTCTGTTACAACACAGCAGTTTAGCTTTTTAATTCATAAAAAATATTTAAAATTAAATGGTATTTGGGTGTTTAATCCAAGAAGAATTAGGAATAAAATAAAGAATTAAGTAATAGAGAAACAACCATCTTAATGTCCCTCTCAGTCTTATGTGAGTAAATGAGAGTGAATGCCTTTTATCTTGCGTAAACCTGTAGGCTTGGTTTAATTTGTGTTTCCTTACAGAAAGGGTCGTTTTTCCACTGGGGTTTATACTCACCCTAAAGTTGCTGCCACAGGCATTTAACTCTCTGATGGGAAACTTGAATCTGGCCACCGGGGGGAACACTGTGGTGTCCAATGTGCTCTGGCAGGCCACATCGTCACTTATATGGTTCAGTCTCAGTAAGCTCGCATTGTAGCCAGTGTAAATGACGGGACAGATCTGAATAGCCAATTCAATGTGTCTTGTACCACACATCACTGCGATATCAGTATATGCTAGCAGAAGCAGAAAAAAAGAGAAATATTTAACATTTGTACAATTAAATGGTGCAATACAAAATTAATTGGACATAACTTGTTGTTATTTCTAAACTAGTCATAAATAATATTCCTTACTAATATTATGCACATGTGATTTGCTATTAAGATGAAGGCATTTGAACAAAGCATTTAAATCATGGCATATGTGACTATAGTCGGTTACCTGGCCGCCTGGCCTCGTTCCCACAGTCGCCGAGAGTGAGGGCCGTCTGGCCCACAGTACACAGAGAGGTCAGTATAAGCAAGAGGAATAAAGCCATCTCACTGCTCTGCCTCAGAAACGCTGCAGCAAAAACACACACAGTTATAAAAGTACAGATCCAGTGCAGAGGTCCAGTGGGTAAACAAATATAATCTGATGGACGGGTGTAGAGGCTGCCTCAGACATTACCTCTTCTGTGTCTTTGCAGGTTTTACATCATTAAGGTGAGGGCAGTTTTTTATATACACCTGTTTTGAGGTCTCACCCTGCTGCAGGATTGGATGGAAATAGGGTCATAGCCACTTTGGTGGGGCTGCTTCAGTTTGCTGAACAATTCACTTTTGTGGTTATGGTGCAGAGTCCTTTCCCCGGGCCACAAGATGAAACCAAACACATTCATCTTCAAAGTATGTGTCTTAACAACATCCATACCTCTTTGTTACTTGTTGTGAAATGCAGCCCTTTGCCTTCAAATATGAAACTTAATAAAGGAAGGTATGTGTTCTTTTACTCACTGGGGACCTCACACAATGGGAAAAATGAGGACTGCTTTTTAGAGCAGTAGAACAGTTTAATGATTTAATGTCATCTGGATGACCGTTCATTGAAGAAATACAACCTAGTATTATAGTCACAACATCCAACAAGCTTCCAAATGCAAATATAATGTTTATAGCATTTTGGTTTACTCATATTTTTCCCTAATTTAAAGCTCTTTTGCACTTAAGGCTGATGATGGACAGCAGGAAACCGAACCCTGACAGGTGAGCCACCTGGGAAGGGGAACTCTCATCGGGGTCTAGGACAAGAATGGGCGTTTTTTACAGTCTTTTGTGCAGTGTGTGAAACCAGCAGTCTAAACATGTTATTAGTAATCACATGACATGAGGCCAAATAAGTGCCCTCTGCCCTGTTTGCTAGCACTGGTCACTGTGCTGTAAGTGTATGGAAATTTATAAGTAGAACATCTTTTGAAAATAATGAGAAGAAAAAGCTGGAAATGGGCTTCTAAGTCTACAGGCAACAGATGTAATAAGACTGAATTCAGGTAGTTTTAATTCAGTTGCAACTTCAAACTTTTAGTCAAGTAGAAGTAACATGTGGCATAACATTTTCTCTCACCCACCTGGGAGTTTCACCTCCGATGGCAAAATGGGAGACTAGTCTGCTGCTCTTTTATTCAGTTTTATCAGTGGTCAGGGCAGGCAATGGACGCACCACAAAATGTGGTTGAAATCAGGGATTAGAGAGATAAGAAGAGCACCACAGGTCAGAAAACATCCAGAGCTGGACACATGAGAGGCGCACACATTCATATATAGGGCATCGACAGTCCAAATCAATGTGGCAAATCTGAAAGATTAATGCTGCACTTATCGAATGGATTCAGGCACAGACTGGTGAGCTCATTTTCTCAGAGATTGGACTTTTACAAAACTACATTTTTATACTTCTGAAGAAAGATGGTAACTTTAAGCCAGAAATGATTGCTGTTTTGTTGTTGTTTCTAGATAAATCCTTTATTATGATGCAAATCAAATTGACCATTAGTTGCTTGTACATTCTTAGACAAATGTTTTGATGAACAGGTTTCCATCTCACTGTGATTTTTGGTAAATTTTGGACTACATTTATTTCACTTTTTTAAATAAATAATTACGTATAAATCTATTGTAGAAATACACTGTGTAGAGTGCACACTTTAGAGTGTGCAGATTCGGCATTGAATAAGGAACATGAAATCAAATCCTTCACAAACACAGGTAGTACAGACGTGACATCAGTGCCAAAGTCCTTTGAGTGCGAGCCAAAACGCAACACTGTCCCACACAGATCCAGTCTCGACTGTCTCAGGACACCATCCTGGGCCTGTTTTAGGTAATCACAACTGTGGCTTTTAGGTTATGACCACACATGCACTAATGATGCTTCTCCAATAGTGCACTTTATGTTACAATATCTTCACTCCATTAGCCTGAAAATTGCTCTTTTAAATGACTGTGTTGGTCTAAAATCTGCACCTAAATATGATTTATTTTTCAAAATGCATGAAAACATGCAGTGCAAATATGTATGGTAGATCTACTCACCTCTTGTGCCTTTCAGACATCATATGAAATCCCGTCCTGGCACCGGGCACTGGGTTTTGACTACCTCACACAATTTTCACAGACTCTGAGATTGCAAGAGTCCAGAGAGCTCTGTCTTGTCAACGAATCAAAAATCAAATTGGAAAAATGTGGTATATGAACCAAAAAATTGTTTATATTTCTTAGAAATAAAATGCTTGTTATGCAAAAATGTGATGTGGTATAATCTGTTTTATTGTAGCTAATATTGTTTTTTGTGTGTGGGTTTTTTTTTGTTTTTTTTTTTTTTTTTTTTGAGCTTTTATGGGTATAAGATAACATTAATACAGACAATCAAAACAGTGCACCAAAATGTTCTAGTAAACAAATTTAATGAAAAACATAATGAGCTACAGGTTCATTTAAAGTTGGAGTTTAGAACACCTGAGGATGCACCGGGGGGATGACGGGGCTTCTGCAGGAGGCGGACCGAAAACAGGAAGAAGCCCAGACTGGCTCCGCCCAGAACCACCACACCTGAGATGAGGGCACTGGTCAGAGGGTTCAGGGGCAGGTCGTTAGCTGAGGCTGAAGAAAAAATTGTGCAATAGTAATATATTTCACACCAGTAAAAAGATAGCATGTTGGAGGAAAAAATCAAAGTATTTAATATTTAACGCCTCCCTAATCCTGCCCTGATGATTCCTCACAATTCTAAACTCACAAAAATTCCATCTTTTGCTATCTTTTGGATCTTTTAGGGTAGGCCTGAAAGTGGGCATCTGTTTTGCAGTACAGTAGATGGGCAGCTTTTAGATTTCCCCAAAACAACCACTTTTTGATATTTGTGAAGAACACAGAATAAGTTACATAAGCTTTACTATGTTTGTGAGAATGAATCACTAGCTCAAACTGACTTCAGAGAGCCAGCTTTGAGTGCTCTCCACAAGCATTTCAACAGGCAAAATCTAGTATAACACTGTCAATGTCAAACATTTAGCAATTTTGCATATTGCCTCTTGCAGATGTCAGTGTTAACTTACCAAGTTGAGAGTTGTTGGCAGGAGTTTCATCTAAAACAAAACAAAGCATTAATTTTGATTTTGAAAACAGACATAAAGGTCTGAGATGCGAAGTGCTACAATGGTCCTACCTGTTCTGGTGATGATGGGTCCTGCTGTGAGTACTGTGTTTCCAGAAGTGGGCACTGGATAAATCTGAATGTGCTCTCCATCCCGCCTGCGTCGTTTTCCACAGATCTGCTCACACAGTCATTCTTTATGTTACAGGAATATGACACTTCAAAAAAACAAAAACAAAAAACCCTAAAATCAAAAATATGCTCACTGGAATAAGTGTGATGCAGTCATCTGCTCTGCACAACTTGGTGACGCAGTGGAGAAACACTGTGGACATTCTCTGGTGTCTGTGCTTTACAAATCTGAAGACCTCGAAGGAAAAGCGCCCTACCTGACTTTTCCCATTTTCAAAAACGGTAGTCTGCGGGTCTTTGTAGCATCTGAGTCACAGAAACATCCTGAATAGTGGATTATCATGCATATCTTTAAGAAGAAAAAAAGGCGAGATTACCCAAAGAAAAGGTCATAGCGCAGCTCGTCATTTGGATTCCCTGAGGGCGTAGTGTAACAGTAGTCCATGAAAACGTTCCACCTGCAAGAGGGACAGAATTATGAGATTGTATAAAGGATAGGGCCATAGCTGCACATGAGAATCCTTTTTACACTGCAGACACTGGCGCCCAACTCTAATAATATAATGGCATAATGGCTCAGAGGTAAGGACTAAATGTGGAGAAGTGCAACTAGAAGTTTGTCAAATCCTTATATATTTAAAGATTTTTACCGTCGGTCTAGGTTTGTAGCTTTGACCGCAGCGAAGACTCTAGTTTTCAATGCCAGTCCGCTCATAGGGATAGACAGAGTGTGACTGTATGATGTATCCTGAAAAAAACATATAAATATTGAAAATGTTGCTTTAGGTGTTGCTATGAAGAATATGTTTATTTTTTTTGCCCCGCAGAGACCTTTCAGTCTGGTAACATCAATGAAAGATTTATTTTTTGCCTTGTTGAATCTCCCTATGCAAATCACAAAAAAACATGGACTCGGATTTCAGGTCCAATTTCCAATTAAAATCTTTTACTTTTAATTTTTATTTTAAAACACAGTGCTATTTCCACAAATTTGTGAATAGAGTCCAAATCAAGTCTCAGTCAAATTAAATGGTCATTAGTCACTGAATAGGTTTCCTGTAAATTATGTTATTATATACATTTTTTAGAGTTATAATATTTTATAGAGTTATAATTTGTACTCACATTATACAAGATCATGCTCAGTGTGCTCACAAAAGTGCCGTTGCTGTCCTTGATGGCTACAGTTGCAGAAGAGCTGTGAAAATATGCATTTTCCATTTTGTATTTGCATTGAATGTGGGAGTCATTCACAAGAGACTTTTACTAAAAGAAAAATTATACCAATGTTCTCTAACCTTTAACCTCTTCATTCAGATTATAAATATTTTCCAAGGCACACATAAAAACCTGTGTATCTAAGCACAGTAAAAGAACATTCTATACTCTTCTTACGATGCCAGTTGCGAGTTGTTGACCAGATACTCCAGAGGGTAGCTGCAGCTGAATTTATACATCAGACCAGGTAGATAGCTGATTATAGTCGGCGGGTCGGGTGTGTCGATGAACCCAGAGACATGCCCAATTTGCACCAGTGACATGTTGCCGTATGCATTCACCCCATAGGCTGTGGACACCTGTTTAGTGAGATACAGGACTTTTGTGTACATTGAACATCATTAGTGCTGAATGATGAATTTTCTCATTGATTGCGTCTTTACCACCAGGTTGTTGCCGCAGGCCTCCAGCGTGCTCAGACTGATGCTGAACAGGAGTGTGGTGGGCAGTGTGTTGTTGTTGATGAAGCCCCTGCAATGGCCATCGTTATGGTGACCG